CCAAACAATGGAGCATCTGCATACATCAAACGAACCCTTCTCCATTTCAACAATGATATCCGTCACAACAGAATAATACTGGGTCACTTTCACACACCGCTCTCCTGATGCACAGATCCGCCAAACATCAACTCAACAAAGAACGTATAGAAATACATGATCCAATCAGTCACTTGGACTTCACAGACATACAGAGCATTTCCTGCATTAATGATGCAATGCACTTTCTTCTCAGCAGCACACAGATACTTCTCTAAAAGGGACCATATCTTAGGCCACAAACCAACTCCTAGTAAACACCAAACCATATGGATAATACCTTGCTTTCTATCAGATCCTAGTGGAATAAATTTAGAAATCAACAATAAAGGGCTGGTGTTGGGGCTTAGCTGTAGAGTGCTCGCCTAGCACGTGTGAGGCCCTGGGTTCCAATCTCAGCACCACATTTAAATAAATAAATGTATTGTGTCCAGCTACTACTAAAAACTAATTTTTTAAAAAAGAAAATCAACAATAAGTGCTGGGATTGTGGCTCAGTGGTAGAGCACTTGCCTAGCATGGGTGGGACCTGGGTTTGACCTCAACACCACATAAAAATAAAGGCATTGTGTTTTTTCCATCTACACCTAAAAATAAATAAATATTTTTTAAAAAGAAATCAACAATAAAATTAAAACTGAAATTACTCTCACACATAGAGACTAAATAATATACTACAGAATGACCAATGGATATCAGAAGAAATCAGAAATGAATTAAAAATTCCTTAGGGGTACATGAGAATATTGACACAACATATCAACCTCTCTGTGACACTATAAAGGCAGTTCTAAGAGGAAAATGTATTGCTCCTTTATCCAAAGAATGTAAATCACCCAGTGAATAACCTAACATTACATTTCAAAGGCTTGTAAGTCATGAATTTCCATTTTATACTAGATCTCATAAATACTTATGTAATTCTGTATAAATTGCTTACGAAGGAAACAGATTTATATTGTTCCTCTCTGAGAAAAAAGCATGCCTTAAATTTCTCCAATAATGAGGATGAGGGTTGATCACTCAGGTTCCCAGCAGGGAGGAGCCGGGCTCAGACTCTGCCTGAGCGTCACGTCCATTTGGCCTCCCTGTCATTGGACCTCAACCCCAGCCTCCAAATCTGCCTCTCTTTCTGTTTTATTTCATGTGCACTTTCATGGGATGCACAGCTTGAATGCTGAAATTTTCAGAATGGAAATTATGAAGTACCTGCATGAGCAGTAACATGAAGAAATCAGGTGATCCACACGAGAATCGATTGGGAAAAAGGGGCCCCATCAGAAACTGCAGTGAGGGGATCTTCAGACCCACAAGGGACATCAGGAGTCACTCTTTCTTCCCAGAATGCAGGCATTCCAACCTGTTGAATGGCTGTGTGATTATTTTAACTTTGGATACAGTGGAGAACAGTTGTGTTAGCACAAATTATCATTTTTTTGTCAAAGGAACTTAAGAGAAAATTTGAACACCCATCATCCTAAATGGCTATTATCCAGAACAGAATCCAATCAAGGGGCAAGGGAAATTTTCCCCTGGGGACTCCATAGACCTGTGCTCCCCAAAGGGATCCTGTCACCTTACTGAGGATACTAAAATGACAGGCTGCAGAGAAATGAGCTCACAGCACCCTTTTCTTAAAATTAGGCAGGTTGTTTCTCAGATGCACCAAGTGCCCTGCATCCATCCATGCAGGTAGGTGTCTCACTCTGCACAGATATAGGGAGTGGGTGAACGGGATTCTGGGATAAGAAGAGAATGGGGCAAACTGGGTCTCTTAGTGCAGTTTCTAGTTGCTTGAGAAAAGACATTAAGCTCTAACCACTATACTCCACCAGACAATATGCACTGAAAAAAGCCTTCTGAAGTTATGCCCTCTGTTACATTTGAGAGAAAAAATTAGTGCCTCACATGGCTACAAGCATTTATTTTTAGATTTCCATAAAATCTTTCTGGTCCTACATTTAATTAAATTGAAAATAAATTGTGCCACATTCAAAGCATATGTTCTGTGCATCATCAAATTTCAAGGGGAGAGGTCGTGACCTCGAGGTTACATTCACATGAAATATGAAAAAGGTAAGTGAACCTGATGGTGAACACGTTTTCCTGCTCCAAAAGACAGGGTCTTTTGTAATTTGCAATACTTTTGTTGGAAGAATATTTATGGCCATTCGTATTTTGGAAACGTTAGAGCTCATCCTATTCAGGTCTGAATGCTCAGGTTTTGATTTTATTTAAAGTACATCTTTTCATGCAAATATATTTACAGAGAAAATGTGAGCTAATCTCCTTTTCTTCTCCATTAAACATCTTTGACTTGACTCATGTCATAAATTGGTTAATCATGGAGACCTTCTCCTGCAGATACATGTGGGTCTCTCAGTAATGATGGTTCAGTGTCATGATGAAGCTCCGTTGGAGTTTCTGATTGACGTTAGAAAAGTAATTATTCTTCTTATGTTGCTCAAGACAGACTTGAAATATATGGTTAGTGTCTTCTTGCCATTGGGAACTCTGATCTGTCCTCAAATCTTTCCAATTTACAGAAAGAATGGATTTTTTTCAGACAGGTTTTTCAGTAATTCTCATTCACATACACAAGTCTTCTCCGGGTTTTTCTGCTCCACATTCATGAAGCTTGGGTATTTCTCAGGAGCTCTGTCCACAGCAGGTAACCAGATGAGTGATGTCCATGCCCTCCCTGATGTGCAAGCTGTTTCTCTCTAGTGCTCTCCATAGTTTCCAAGATAGAATTGTGCCACAAATTAGAGTTTGCTGCCCAATTTTCCCTCAGACCCAAACCCAAATAAAGCAGAACCAGTACCCATCCCTGATCTCATTTGACCCTCTTTACCTTAGCATCCAGAAGACCATGTGGGGAGGGTTAACTATAGGACAATGAGAAACCAAGGTATGCTCCTTTGAAACTATTATTATTATTATTATTATTATTATTATTATTATTATTATGTCAGAGATTGAGCCTAGAGATGCTTAAACTCTGAACTACATTCTCAGCCCTTCTTATATTTTATTGAGAGACAGGTTTTTGCTCAGTTGCATAGGGACTCACTCAGTTGCTGAGGCTGGCCTTGAACTCAGGACCCTTCTTTCCAAGCCTCATGAGCTGGTGGGAATTCATTAGTATCTGCCATTCAGAGGTATAAGCTCATGAGCTGCTTTAACCATAAGGCTTTGCATTTCAGGTGATATTGTGGTTCCAAATGAGCAAACACACATTAAATCTTAGTCATTACATATGGAAGAAGCTTCGATGAAAGGAAATACATACGTTGTCCAGGAAAATTCTCTGCCAGTAAGTCAATACAAATGTTCTAGAATACAGGGTGTGGTGGGGCTCAGTGGAACATAACTTACTACCATTTGTGGGGTCCTCGGCTTGATCCTCAGCATTGCAAGAAAAAAATCCAGTATCAATTTTATAAATGGACCTCTTGAGTCCAGTGAAATGCCCATTCTGTCTGAAAGTAAGGAGGAAAGTCTGGACTCTGAGAGGACCCAGACTTCCTGGTTAGGTTGGATCCTTATTCTTAATTGATACTGTAAAATGCAGTGAACCTGAAACTCTTTGAATTATGGTTATGTGGACAACATAAATTCCACATATTGAACTAGAAAAAAATATCCAAGTGTGTTCTTGCTTAATATTTAATAACTGGACTTGGCTGACATAGGCCAACTTTTGATAAGAAAAATATTAAAATTACACAGCTGTATAGGGGGATTCAAATAGACCTAAAATTCTATCACCCCTATATGGGCTGAGATTGCCAACAGACTCAAATATTCTGGTAATTTTTCAGCCTCTCTGAGTGGGTGATACATGGGATCCGATATTAAGGGAACTCTGTGAAGTCTACAAAGTGACACGGATGATAGTCAATTGAGAAAAACAGAACCATTCCACAGGGACCACTGGTGGCAGGAAGCCCTCCAAAATTTGCATGTGTGCTTCACTCTGTTGCAGCCACTCAATCTCCAGGACTCACATTATGAGTCTGGGTGCCATTTACAGGTGACAGGAGCTCAGGCTCCTTGGCTTCTCAAGGTCAGATACTCACCCCTTAAATGGCAGATCTTATTGATCCTTTCAAGCCATCTGACTTCAGAGTGTGCAATTCTTCATATTTTCTGGGAGAATGTGCTAAGAAAATCACCTGTGTTTTTAAATTAACCAGAATCAAGGCAACAGAAATCTAATGTGAATCCGGGTCATACAAGAGACTGACTCTCTTTGCTTTGGAAGGTATTCTTACCAATGCAACATATATGACTTTAATCTACCAAATATTGTACAGTTTATTGTACGTGCCATTTTCCTGGATGAGAATGGATAGAAAGAGAACAAGAAATTTCCCTTGCAGTAAGATGTTCCCATGAAAAACTCAAGGTCATTCCAAGGAACAATTTCTAAGATGTATGATCATTTTTTTAATGTCTATAGTAAAGTTTGGTAATTTGCACGAAATAGAATCCAGACATGGTTGGGTAATGAAGAGAATAGAGAGGAGGAACGGCTTCCAGAGGCTGCTATGGAAATTTGCATGTTGAAGAAAGAAAGGAACATTGGGACTTCAGAAATTTTCCTCGTAGCAACAATATTGACTGAGATGGATGAATTTTAATACATATGATAATGAACTTATTCCTTTTCTCCTAAGGTATGTACTCCATGAACCTTGCCCCCAAAGATGGGAAAACACCCTGAGATGAACGGTGTTGCTAACCTAAGAAGCACCTTTTACTCTCAAGTGGGAATTGGGATCATGGCCAACACCCTCCTCTTTCTGTTCCATGTCATCAAGTTCCTCTGTGACAAGAGGCTCAAGAGCATGGACTGGATTGTTGGTCTCTTGGCCCTAACCCACCTACTGATGCTGCTCACCATGGGGTTCCTAGCTGCAGACACTTTGTCACCACAACAGGGACTTTGAGTTTATATGAGATTCAAATCAGCCACCAACTGGTACAGGCTGATGAGGGTCCTGTCCATTTCTGCCACCTGTCTGCTGAGTGTCTTGCAGGCTACTACCCTCAGCCCCAGATGCTCCTGTTTGGCAAAGTTCAAGCCTAAGTCCGCACAGGACAGTATGAGGTCCTTTTTCTTTCTGTGGGTCTTCTATATGTCCTTCAGTGCCCACATCTCCATCTCTGTGGTCAATGACTCCAATGGGATGTCACACAATCTAATGTTTCTCAGTGACACCTGCACTATGATTCACAAGAGCTACTTCCTCAAAAATTTATTTACCATCCTGGGTGCATTCTGGGACGTTGACCTTATAGGGCTCATGGCCCTCTGCAGTGGGTACATGGTTACCCTCCTATGCAGGCATAAGAGGCAGTGCCAGCACCTCCACAGCACCAGCCTGTCTCCAAAAGCCTCCCCAGAACCAAAGGCCACCAGAAACATCCTGCTGCTCCTGGGTTTCTTCAGTCTCATGTACTGTTTGGTCAGCATCATCTCTTTCTTAAGAACCATGTGGAAAAACGACCCTGTTTGTCATTGTATCCAGATGATTGTGGCCAACGGCTATGCCACAGTCAGTCCTTTGGTTTTCATTTGCACTGAAAAACAAAGTGTTGCTTTTGGAAAGGCTTGTGGCAGAAGAATCGTCAATGCTTAATTTTTTCATGACGGATCAGTCCCCTGCATGAGCCACCGCCCAGCTTTGTCACAATGAACCATGGAGTGGTTGGTGCATGTACTCTCTGTGTTGAAGGAATACAGAAAGTGGGTTTTTTATTTAATTTTATTTTTAAATTCATTTAAATATTTATTTTTTAGTTTTAAGTGGACTTGATTTTTATTTTTATGTGGTGCTGAGAATCGAACCCAGTACCTCACGCATGGCATGCTGGGCGAGTGCACTCCCACTTGAGCCCCAACCCCAGCCCAAGTGGGCTCTTTTAAATGTTTACTTTGAAACCTGTGAATGATGCTCCAAGATAAACTAAGAACTTTATATTTCTGCTTGATGTGGACAAGGGAGCCCCAAGATACCGCTATCACCTTATTTGTCTGAGTCCCTACATCTATAAATAGTATAAATGTATAAATATTGGTTAAATCTAACATTATTAAGTTCCCTCCTATGTTTTTGCAAGGGCCTTATAGGGTTAGTGTGGCCACTTAGGTGCTTGGTCAACTGGGAGTTGCTTTTTGTGAATTTTAGAAGTGATGTCCCAACTTTATTATCTGCGTGTGTATATTCAGGTTTCTCAGCTCTGCTTGGTGGAAGAGGTGCCCTCTCTCATTGGAATGATATGCCTCTGGATTCTCTATTTCATTTGTTGATTTTGAAGCTACTACCACACTCTGTAGAATGATATCTTCCAGAAATGTTGACTTCCAGAAATGATGCCTCTGGCATAATTTAGAAATATGTATGACCAGAATCACAGCCTTTGGAATGGGAGACCCCAGTCTCCTTTGGTAGCAAAGCAATAAATCTTATTTTTCCTTTTTGTTAAATAACTAGGGAAAAAAATTTATATGTTTATTAGGATAGATTTTTTCTGCTTTTGTGAAAAAAAAATCAGTGGGATTCTGATGGGTATGGTTGTTGACTTTGCATGGAGTTGGATTCTTAGCAACTCTTCCAATCAATGGACCTGAGGTGAAGGATCAGGAGAGTCAGCAGGTAGTTTTTAAATGTTCAATGTTATTATTCATCCAGAAAAGGTAAATCATTGTGACAGTGACCTGTTCCCTGGTCCCTAGTTGAATATTTAGTTACAAAAAGGCAAAATTAAATGCTGGTGAGGATGTGGAGGGGAAAAGCTCATTTATTGTGGGAAGGTAAATTAGTGCAATAATAATACAGATCAGTGTGGAGGCTTTTCAAGAAACGTAAATAGATCCACCAAATGATCCAGATATCCCACATCCAGAGGAAATAAAATTGTCACTAGAGTGATTCTGCATGACTGCGTTTTTCTTATCACCATTGAAAACAGCTAAAAGTCCCTAAGCCCAGGTGCCTACCAACACACCAATGGATAAAGGGGTCACTTCCCCACACCCCAAGTGTCTGTTGTACTTTTCATGAAATCTTTCTTGCCCCACATTTAATCTCACATGTTCAAAATGCACAGTGCCATCTGTAGTCTGCCTGCCAGCAAATTCCAAATGAGAGGGAAGTGGTCCTGGGTCACCTTCACATCAACGGACAAGTGATCCTGGTGGTTTGCTGCCAAAGACCTGGGAATATGAGTTCCAGTAGCTGGGCTGGAGGAACATATGTGCCCATTCATCTGGTCTCTTTTTATTAGTCATTTATAAATTCTCCTTCCCATTTCCCTAATAATGAAAAGGTTTAAGAGGTATTTTATTAGGACAAGTATTTAGAGAAGTTGAGCCTCATCCCATTCAGGTCTGTAAGCTCATGCTTATTTTTTTTTAATGACATCTTTTCATGGAAATGAATTGACACAGAAAAAGTGTGCACCATGTTATGTTCTTCACCTTTAAGCAAATTGGACTTGACTCGTGTCTTCATTGAGTTCATCAGGGACACAGATTCTCCTGCAGATACGTTTGCATTTCCCAGTCCTGACACCTTTGGGCCAGCCGACCTTCAGGATCTCTTTCTTCCAGTTTTACCTTAGGATACAGAAGGTGATGGGAGCCCTGGTGAGTTTTAACTACATGAAAATGACTCAGCAAAGTATTATTATCTTGGTACCAGGGTTTGAACCCTGGGTGCTTAACCCCTGAACCACATCCTCAGCCCTTTTTAAATCGTATTCAGACAGAAGGTTTTTCTAAGATTTTTAGGACCTCGCTAAGTTGCTGAGGCTGGCTTTGCAGTTATGATACTCTAGCCTCAGCCTCCCAAATGCTGAAATCACAAGCATGCACCCCCATGCCCAGCACAGGTTAGTTTTCCTATGATTTATGTCATTCTCTGTGGAAGGTCCAGTATTTTTTAGAATGTTTGCTTTCTCCATTTTATAATATGTGATAGTTTTTGCTTTTCAAACTGCATGTTTTCCATGTATCATTGCAGGGCTAAGAGCCATAATTAAGGAGCCCCCTTGATCACTCTGCAGTGAGGGAAGGGAGATTTAATCTTGTTCCTGAGTCTCTAGACTCCTGTTTGGTACACGAATGTGAGTGGCAGAGTCCATGGCTGGGAGGTGACATGTCTGACAAATTCTTTTAGCTTGGTTTTATGCAAGGCTCCTATTCACCAGAATGCTTTCTAATAAAAATGAGATATTAACCCAGACATTGCTACATACCCATCTTTAAAATACTTATATGTAATAGTTCAGTGAATAAGTTGCATGTATTTCATGGGATTGTTGTACGGATACATTAGTGTGTGATAGGAATTTTGAAGAGAAGCTGGATATGGTGGTTCATTCCTGAAATCCCAGCAGCATGGGAGGCTGAGGCAAGAGGATCATGATTTTAAAGCCAGCCTCAACAATGCAGCAGGGCCCTAAGCAACTTAGCATAATCCTGTTTCTTAATTTTAAAAAAGAGGTGACGGTGACTTAGAATGTGGTTCAGTGGTTACACACCCCTGGGTACTCATCCTCTTCCAAAAATTGTTAGAACCAGCTGGATACCTCCAGATGTGTGTGACCTCACCCATTCTACATAGTTAGGTTTTGTAGTTAGAAATGGCCTCTCACTCTTGTTTATGCTCTGGAGAAATGTGACTCATTTTTCTTGCTGCTATTGTGGAATTCTACCTTCAGAAAAATAGGACTTGTTGGGAGTGGCCCTTGCTCCAAAGACTAACTTCCCCATCCCCAGAGAAGAGTGGTCCAATGGTGAGCCCTGCTGGCTCACATGATCTTTACCCACCAATCAGACTAGCCCTGCTGGCTTACATAATTATTTCATGATCCATACCCACCAATCAGAAAGCACCCCTGCCAACTGTCAAAGCCTTCAACCATTAAACTGTCATAACTGTCAACCACCACCACCGGCTCTATAAATATGCAGAGCTGTTCCTCAATAAACAGGCATTTTCTCCAACAGCGAGCCTTATTCATTCTTTCAGGACTTACCAATCATTTTAAAGCAACAATGAACTGAGGTCTTAATTTCTGAATAGCGTTGAGAATTCATGTCTTCTTCTCATCTTTGCTTTATCCAAAAATTTTATTCCATGACTATATTATTTGAAGTAACATGAATATAATTCCAACTGAAGCATAGATTTACAGGTTACTACAGCACGTGCTCTATGAGTTTTACAAGGCTGTATTTGGGTACCTCAACTTTTAAAATGATTTGTGGCATAAGGGAAAGCAATTTCACAATAATCATTGTACATTTTCACGTTAAAATGTTATAAATAAATGTTTTTATGTTCACTATAAATACACAGATACAAAATTATTCTTTAAAGCATCATTTGAATTAGTAATTTAAACAAGTATATGTAAAAGGACGTATGACATTTTTATTTACAAAAACAACTCAGTAGAGGAGAAGCATTCTGAGCCTCCTTATACTTAGAAATGATACAATTTGAAAAAATAAATTATGGTTAATTACTGTAATTTGATCACGAAACAATTTAAACATCTATAGATTTATAATAGTGTACTCCAAATACAAGTCAAGATGTTACATCAATTAAAGGTTAAAATTTCAAAAAAATCTGCATTTAAGCTTTTAAGCAAATATCAACTTGAATTCTGAATTCTTAAAAGTTACCTTATATTCTCAAATATTTCACATGTCAGAATTCCTTAGCAATTTTTTTTTTCTTTTTGGTACCTGTGATTGAGCCCAGGGGCACTATGTGACTGAGCAATGTCCACAGCTCTTTCATTAAAATTTTGAGACAGGGTCTCTCTAAGTTACTTAGGGCCACTTTAGTTGATGAGGCTGGCCTCAAAATTGTGCTCTTTTTGATTCAGCCTCCCAAGTCCCTGGGAAGACTTGGAATTTCTTAGCATATTATCTTTCACATCTATATGCCCATGAACTAATTTAGCTTTAAGACTTTACTTTTTAGATGATATTCTAATTCAGTATGTAGAAACACGAATTAAATCATAATTATTACATATATGAGAGGCTTGCATGAAATTCAATACATGTTTTCCAGAAAAAATATTCTGACAGTAAGTTATTATGAATTTTTCTCAAATAAGGGTTTTGGATGTAGTTCAGTAGTAGAGAATTATGTATGGGGTCCTGGGCTTGAGATCCAGAAATGCAAAAAAAAACTGAGTATCAATTTTATATCTAAACCTCTTTGAGTTTGGAGAAATGTCACTGCTTTCTTGAAAGATGGAAGAAAACCTGTACTCCAAGAAGACTCATATTTCAAGATTAGTCTGGATACTTATCCTTTAATGAAATCCTTATAATGGCGTGTACCTGGATATATTTTAATTTATGATTTGGTTTATCATAAGAATTCCAAAAATATAAACAGAAAACAATGCAAAAAAATGTGTTCTTTCGAATATTTTATAATAGCAGTTGTGTGAATAGGCCAGATTCTGACATGATAATCAAAATATATGAAATATGTAACTATATAGAATGATTCAAATAGTCATGAGCTCCATCAATTTTCTCCAAACAGGGATTTCCAGTGTACTGTACTATTCTGGTAATTTTTTTCAGCTCTCTGAGTTAGTGACAAAAGGTGAACAGATATTCAAACAATCCTAAGAATTCTATTAACTTACATAAATGAGGATCTGCATTTTAAAAATTAAAACAATCCTGAAAAGATAACCTGCAGAGGAATTCCTGCCTGTGTGATTTGTGTGTGTCATCCTCCTTACATATGGATTCATTAAATAAAAATTCCCCAGGGCACATTTTCCTCAACTGCTGGAAAACTCCATATTACATTCTGTCTTTATAAATTATAAGACCCAAATTTCCATCTTTTACAGGTAGATTTACACCACCTTGATTCTTTTGTGAGTGAAGGTAACTTGACTGAATGATTTCAAGATTCATCTGTTTTTTTATGCTATATTTAAGATTTAATGCAATATTCGGTCTTTTCATATTATACTACTGAAGATTCCACCAGCTGTGTGTAAATGTATACAGTTTTGATTCTGATGCCTATGCAAGAGGATCGCCATGTACCCTCTTGACATAATAAATTCAAGAATCATCTTTGAATTCCTATGCATCAGAATCATTTTCCTATTAATGTTGAGTAGTACTCAATGATGTATCCAGACCATATCTTCATACATTCATGCTTTGGAATATCAGGCTGCCTCTATTACTGACTATTATAAATATAGTCTCTTTAGCAATGGTGTTTAAATAATAGTTTTTGTCCCTATATCCAGTTTTTTGTTACATTCATATAAGTTTAATTGATAGATGAGATAGCAGTTTATAATAAGAGATGTTTATAATCTATTAGGCATAAAGGAGATTTCTGAGACTCTTGATTTATTAAAACTGCTGCAATCTCTCATATACCTACAAATATATGGACTGATTCAGAAA